CCCCAAAACCCCAAAACCCCATGAAGGTCTAAAATTAAAGTTAAAAGTAATTAATAATAAAATGATACTATTATAAGGTTGAAATATTATTAATATATAATCACTAATATTGCTATCTAGTTGCAGCTGCTCTAATCATTCCCTTGATGCTTGGACCTCCATCAGGTTTTTTATAAGGTTACTAGCTGTTAGATCTTGCCTGAATTGCAGAATTTTATTATATTTATTGTTGCTAGAATTATTATTATTGCTTGACAGGTTACTATCCTTATGTTTGAATTTAGCTTTAATTAGAAGTTATTTATACCTAGTCCCTATTATTAATTTATGAAGTTTTCAAATTTTGTATAGTTGTCTTTTTAGATAATTCTGTCGTATTATTATGATGAGTTAGTTCTATTCTGACATTTGAATCTGTGAAAGCTTGGGGTAGTATTTTATTTGAACCGATTGTTGAAAATACCTATAGAGTTTAGTGACTATTTATATTATCGTTTTAAATAATTAGGTTTGCATCTCTTTATTAAATCTAGCTTAAATTGATGTGTTACTTTAATTGCTAGCTATTTGGATTAGTATGATCTACTTTCGTGTTATAATGGTACTTTTATGCAGTATCTAGTGAAACCTAGTCATCTTTAGCAGGTCTAGTAAACATTTTACTCTCCTCCTAAGAATGTCTATTCAATGATTGCACCTCCGAGTTTGAGTTCAAAAGTTTCTTCTCAGAAGCCATCTGAGTCTTCTACTCTGGCAATACTTCATCTAGTATCTTATTATGAGCAAGATTCTAATGTGATTCCATATTTTAAATAACATTTCTACCAACTATTTACTAAGGACGCAACACATTGCTAGGGTTTTAAGATTGAATTTCGCTGAGATCATCAAATCTGTATTTACTTTCTTCATCCTCATAACCTTGAGTCAGATATCCTGTTTTGTTCTAATCTAGTCCTTACTTGCTATTTTACTAAGATCTTCTTACCGGACTAATATTATTGTTAGCTGCTGCCCTACTATAACTATTAATTTATATTTTCTGAGACATTCTATCTAATTGTCGTCTGGATTCAGATCTTTATGGTTACTCGCTGTTATTATTTTAACTTGAAACTTGATCATCATTGACTTAGTTTTAGGAATGCTTACTCTTTGGCGCCCCTTCATTGAAACCATTTCTTGAAACAGTCAACTGGGTCTACAGCTGAAGTATTTGCTATTATTCCTTGAGTTTTCTATTCATTGAGTCTCTCCTCTTCATAGCCTCCTTAATTAGTTTATTTCCAGGCTAAGATGGAATATCTTATTCCTCTGGGATTACTTCATTTTGAACTTAACCTCTTGATACAAGATTTTACCTAACATCCCTCTGATTCTTAGTGATATCTTCTTTGCTATCAGACTCGATCGATTTGAATGTATTTTCTTGCATTACTCTCTTTCCATCTCTTACTTTGATTTCTTTCATCATTGTTTGAGTTTCCTAATCTTTCGTTTCTTTCGTTTCTTTCACCTCTTTGACTATTATTTGCTATTGCTCCACTTATTTTTAGCTAGTTCTCTCAGTATGTGGTGTCTGAATTTTAGCTGATTTAGGTTATTCTGATTATGGCTTATTAATCACTGCAAGTCTTTGTCTTTCCTCCTCTTCATTTTATTTTTGCTTTTCAATTAAAGCAACATTTTCATTTTGAAGCTAAGCGAAATTGTGAATCAGCTCAGATACCTTTGTTTATAATGACTTTGTTTTAACATCAAATTGCACTTTTTAGCCATTGAAGAAGCTTTGCTCCTCTTCTTTTTCTTTCTATAATTGAAGAATTTATTCAGATAGTTGTTGTTTAATTCTTTCTCTAATTTCAAAAGATTCTCTTGTCTCATCTCTGTATTCTTAATATGTATAGTTCAAATCATCAAATCTTATTATCTGAGAAATTAGACGAGCTCGATAATCTTCATAAGTCATTTAGGTTTGATCTATCTCCTTTTCTTTGATTTCTATCATTTGGTCTTTGTTTTGAATTTACTCGTTTAATGATCTGATATCTACCTTCAAAAGATGGTTTTCTCTTTATTGATTTCCCAACCTTGTGATGTATTCTTCCTTTTCCATAGCTTCTTAGTTAGTTTCGCCTTGCATTTGAACTTTCATAGCATCCATCTCAGCCAGCATTTTCTTAATGTATCCTTTTTTCTGAGTATTAATCTAATCATGTGTTGACCTTAACTAAGTAATTTCTCTCTTTTAATTGTCTATTAGTACTATTTTTTCATTTAAATCTTGTAACGCTTTTGCATGGTTTTCGCTCAACTATTCATTTATCTGTAATTAACCCTTGTGCTTAATATTAAGGTTACCGAGTTCCAATTCAAGATCCTTGATTTTAGATTTTAAGCTGAGCATCTAAACATTAACAGAACTAAGGTCCTTTTATTCCTTCTCAAATTTTTCAACCCAAGTCTCCTTGAGTTCTTTTTCAGATTCAACGACTTAGTTAAGGGAATCCACTTTATTATTGAGCTAGGTTATTTTCAACTCATACATCATCTCCATGCTCTCAATCTAAACTTCTAATGTTGAACATTTAACTTCAGCTTCTCGAGATCTCGTCTCTAGTTTATCAATCTTTTGCTCCCTATCAATTATTACTCCTATCTTCTCTTTAATTGTATCATTTAAGGCAATAGTTGACTCCTGTTCAGATGTCAACCTCACTTCTAATTCATGTCTCATTCTATTAGTTAAGTGAAGTCTTTCTACAGCATCTTCTAAATCATGCTTAGTACTCTTATACATCTCATTAAGCTTCTCCAGTTCAATTCTCATTGTTCCATTTTATTTCTCAAATTAAGCACAATCGTATTTCAGCTTCGAGATTTGATCTTTCTATAACTCTATTTTTTCGTTACAGTTTTTTAGACTTTCCTCATGACCTACTAATCTCTATCTTAGGCCATTATACTCCTCCATTAAATCAAGCAGTTTTTATTTCAATTCCTCATTCTTATCCTCATATACCTTCTTAAAGTCTCTAGATTCTTTTAAAGTTATCTCCAAGTGCAATTTATCTGACTGTAAACCCTCAATTCTTGTATCCAGACAGTCAATCCTAAGCCTTTACTCTGTTAACTACTTTGATTGATCATGGATTTGGTACTTCACTAGATCATTCTCATCCTAGATCTTTTTCATTCTATCCTCCATATCCTAGACTAGCTTGTTTTTAAGACCAATTTCTCTTTCTTAAGTGTTTTTCTTTTCCTCCAGTAACTGTATTTTGCTTTCATTCTCTGCTTTTATAGTCTTTAATATTATTATTTCAGTGGCTTATTCTTCCATTAATTTTTCCTATTTCATTATCAGACTTTAGGCTACTGAAAGATCAATTCCAAGTCTTTTATGCTTGATCTCTAGCTCTCTATGAATGGAATGCATGCTATTTAACTTGCTTTCAAATTTCAATCTAAGCTGGACTTCCTCCTCATGATTTTTACTGTTTTGCATATACTCTTCTTCTAGCTTTAATCTTAAAGTTCTTTCATTGGTTCTCTCCTTTTCTAGTTCCTCAGAGTATTTCTGCATAACTTCCATATTTTGCTTTAGAATTTTTTCATTGTTGAGGAACTCCTAGCATTTAGCATTAAAGTCTTTTTCCATCCTCTGAACCTCTTCCTCATGCTAATTTGTAATTTCTGATATCAACATTCTGTAATCACTTTGACAACAGTATTCTAACAGAACTGAAAATACTTTCCAGATTGATGTGATGATGGAGTATTTTCTTTAACAATGAGAAACGAGCTTTTTAATAAGCTCATAGAATCCAACTGAATAGACAAAAAGTGATCTATAGACTCTATCAACAATTTCGTTAGGTATTCCAGCATTAGTTAAGCTAAGTCTATCAATCGCATATCTTGATATAGGATTCTTATGTTCAGGTTTTAATATAACGCCTGGAATATCAAGATGCTCTGCATCAGCAAGAGTCTCATTAATCCAAGTCTCCATAACTTTTGAGTTCACAGTTTAAGCTTTTATCCCCTCAAATCTGTTTGAAGAAGAAGATCTCTTACCAGGCTATGCTGAGCCAATTCGTTAATTAACCTCTATTATAGAATCATTTAAAGAGGGTTCAATCATTGAGCTATTTTAAGCATCTCTAATTCCTGATTATTAAAGATTATGCTTTTTTAAATGTTAACTTGCATTTGATACTTCCAAATAACCCTTGAAAGGTTCGTTATCCTCTTTGAGCATTGCTTGCTTAATCATTTTTGATATAGCCTTCTTGTTATTCATTATAAATTGAGCTTGGAATGCACCATATCTCAGTTTTGAATTAATGTCAGCATTTGTTAATCCATGATTAGCAAGTTGTTTTTATCCACTACTTCTACTGTTATCTAAAATTATGTTTAAAATATTCTGATTACTTATATTTGGAAGTTAAATCTGAGATATATCTATTGAGTTGACATGCTGGAGATTAGACATATTTGATGTGAAATGAGTGGGCAAGTTACCCCCAATAGACCTTGAGAATTAATCTGCTGATACTCCTCCATGTAAATCATCGGTTGTTTTAACTCCGTTTAAAGGTTTTTCATCAGTAAATCCTACTCTGTTCACTCTTGGATTGGAGGATTAATAATTCTAAAATTATATTTTATATTCAACAAACTTACATCCATTGCAGATCTGATATTATTCTCTCTTTGATTTCCTGTAAAGATGATTAAGTAGGTGGAATTATAAACATTTTATTGACTTACTTATCGGACTTGACATTAATTTGCTTTTATAATTTTTATTTCATTAATCTAAGAGCATTTCAGATTACGGGGTTTTGGGGTTTTGGGGTTTTGGGG